ATGAGCTACCTCTTCCCACCCGCCTCCAAGAAAACCAAGAAAGCATGGCCGGCTGCTCAGTGGTTAGAGCACTGGCCTGAGGACTGAAGGGTTCGGGTTCGATTCTGGTCAAGAGAGCACATACCTTCCGTTGCAGGCTTGATCACTCGCCCTGGCTGGGATGTGTGGGAGGCAACCAATGGATGTGTCTCTCTCACACTGAGGTTTCTCTCTCCCTCCCTCTCTTCTACTCTCTCTAAAAATCAAGGGGAAAACATCCTTGGGTGAGGACTAACAAGAAGAAGAATAGCAGTAACACCCTGTGTTCCCCTCTGGCTCAGCTAATAGCCGAATGTGCCTTCATCGAATCCAAAAGCTAAAAAAGATATCTTTTCAAATTTTATACTTTGTCCATGTAACTTTTTCCAAATCAGGCCAACTCCTAGAACAACATATTATAATTCCGTTATTACAAAATGTATCCTTGCTTTGCCCTCACAATCCTCTGGCTTTCAACAGAAAGAGAATCCTACGGAGAGACTGGGCGGAGAGTCCACACCTGCTTCCACTCACACAAAGGAAGCAAACACACCGGCACATGGACGAATCGCCATCTTCTGACAAGAACACGAACGTGTGAGAGCCTGGGCTCAATACACACGCTTCCATGTCACCGCCGGGACGGCTTGCCTTCACTGGGGTTCAGAGCTGAAGGAGACTGTCCACAGCGCTGGGGCCAGCGTTTCCCTCCACCCAGCTCTGCTTCAGAGCCCTGGTGAAGTGTGGGTCCATGGCCGGTTTGTGGGCTACTATGCTAACGAGGTCGAATTTAATCTCAGATAAGCCACTTAGTTTTGAGGTTCAAGTCTACACCCCTAGTCTAGGACAATCATCTTAAAATGTGGGTCACTGGTTAAGTGGAGCTGTGTGTGGCTGCTTCAGGGTTTAGGTAAAAGCCTAGAACCACACACACCCCACCATGGTCTCAGCCTACCCATGATGTCGACACCATCATTCCATCCTACCAGGCAAACACAGACTATATATCGGTAGGTTTTATCTTGTACTAAGTATTATCACTTATCTCCAACTTTGCCTCACTGAGAATTTATTCCATATGCAAAGGCTACTTTTTTATTTGGTTGGTTGGTTAATCCTCACCCAAGGGAATTTTCCCCATTGCTTTTTGGGGTGGGGGGGGATGAAAAAGAAAAACAGCAATGTCGCGTGCACCCCGACCAGGGCCAGGGACCAGGTATTGAAGCTCCGGCCGACACTCTAACCACTGACCCCACCAGACAGGGCACAAAAGTTAGTTTTTTAGTAAGTACAGCTTCAACCTTTTCTCAGGCACCACCTGCCAGTCACGACCTCATTCTGGCTTCACAACTTGTAAGAGGCTTGGAATTCAAACCCAAGACTGTCCGGTCAAAAGCCTGTTTTTTACCCACAACAAATGCAGCTTTTAACAATTCTCAAAGGGGCAACATCCTTTAACACATAACATGTGGGGAATCTTTGTCCAAAATGGCAGACTAAGTAACTCTGGGGTAACCCTACCCGCTGCCACTGGTGAGATGCACGCGCCCATCTGTAGGGTCTGAATATTAACTTTGCAGGACCCTAAGGCTCCCTTCCCACTGGACACCATCACGGCTGATTGCTGACCCCGATGCGATCAGTCCTCAAGCCTCCAAACCTGGATCTCCCGTCCGTTCATTCAAACCCGACTCGTTAGAGGGACGCTGTCCTTTCTCGGACGCCGCGCTGGATGGTCCGTCGCAGCCCCGGCCTAACGCACCTCCCTCTCGGGCGCTCCCCCAACCCGCGCGGCAGGGGCTCTCCCGATGGATGCGCTGGGCGCAGGCATGAAGCCGCGAACGTGGGGCCACCGTCCATCCTCGTGTTTGTCGACCCTACGTGAGGGCCATGTCCCACCGTGAACATCACTCAGGAAAAATGTGGGCAACGTCATCCAGGGGGACCAGGAGCGGGGAAGGGCCCGCCCGCAACTCCTGCCCGAGGAACGGAA